AATGCTCCGAATGGGATTGGTTCCCCCGTAACGTGATTAGCACTGATAGATGAACTAATTTTATAGCAGTGAATTTCATTAGGTCAGACAAAACTCCACGGTAGGATTCTACACGCTGCTGAGAAACGTCATTCTGCAATCTCTTAACTTATCAATCAGTCTGCTACTGAGCGCTCGAAATCCATTCCTTATCGAAGTAGCCACTCAAGCCGACACATTAACGCGAAAAATATTAACTTCTGCCGCACAGAACTATGGAATTTATAATGGCAATTATTCGCCGACAAATAACTTTCGTTTTCTAAAATTACCGATTGCAGAGCGGCGATAAAGTGACAGTTATGTAAATTAATTAACCCCTAGCTTCCTTATTGTGGTTCTATAGGAGACCCGGGTCGATTAAAGAAGGTCAAGATTTATCTGTTAAACATGGTGATAAGACAGTTTTATGGTGAACAGAGCCCTCCAGTATTTCTGAATCAGAAACTTCACATTAGAGGAATTATATGAGTCCATGTCATATTCCTTGATGAATATCGCGTTTCATTAGTCATTTCAAGAAAATACGCGGGTTATTGAATTAGAATTCGGTAACTATTTTCATCTTATACCTATACATGTCGTGATTCTCTCACACTTTTAACAGTTTTGATATAAATCTAAAGCATTATTCATAGCTATCTTGTGGTTCTCTGTACTTTAATGGACAATTACATGGGGCTGCAGAAGTAAATGCATTTTCAAAAACAGTGTGTTGCTTTCCTTTCTGTGTAACTGATAATACCTGATGAATTAAACCGTAGTTTGATTTATGATTGTGTTCCTATAGAAATTGTTTTAAGATATGATATTTTTGCCCAGACAAGATACTGGTGCCATGTTTAAGGATTTCATATCACTAGATAATTAAGTGGCACAAAGAAAAGTGTATCATTTCATCTGGAATATCGCCACCGGACACAGAAATCATCGTCATAGGTAATGGTTTACAGCCATTTGGCCGTTTCTTGCATCCTAGTCACCTAGGATTTTTTGTCCCTTTCTCAGAGTAGCAGGTGGCCTCCAAACAATTTCTGCTCAATCCTGATTTGTTTGCTAGAGCCATCTAGTAGCAGATCAGAAGAGACATGGGCGAGAAACATGAATTTTGGTTACGAAACATTTCTTTAATGCTCATAAGGTTTGTTTACATGTCATGAATCTACAACGTGGGACCCCCTGCTTTACTTCCCCTCCGAAGGAAGTCGTGTTACAGATTTTTACCACCCTTAAAAATCCATGGACCTTGGTCAGATTTGAACTCATGGGTCATGCAAAGATTACATAAATCAATACTGACTAGAATAAGCCACATAACTGATTGATTCTGGTGTTATTTAATGACACTTTCATAGTGACATACATAATGTAGTGTGAGATTATGGGTGATTATGGATTTAAAATGGTGTGGAAGGAGTGAAAGTCATTTTCCAGGACTTGCATCCCCTGAATACAAACCATTGCTGACTAATAGTATCAAATTAGAAAGAACGTTTGTTAAAAGTGTGATTATTTTGTCAGTCTGTCCTACTGTCCACTTAGATGAGGTAGGAGTGATTGGCAACATTTATGTAATACAGGGTCCTGGAAATGTGTATGGTAACATCGTTAAATAATATGGAACTCTTTTTTTTAACAGGGCTACCATTTAAAATCTTATTTGCTTGTAATTGATAGTTAACAGTATAACTGAAGAATGTTTCTAGGAATGTGATATTTTGTATGTAAATAGGTTATAAATAGGATAGTGATGTGAAACATGGTTGTTATATCAGGTTTCAGGCAGGAGTTTCTAAGCTTTTAGACCTGCGGCAGTTCTCACCTTTTCTTGTCAGTGTGTGGGCTGACAGATTCTAAATGAGAATTTATTGAAATTTTATGGCAAGTTCAGAGAGATTCACACGTTGTTAAATAATTTTCTGTAGAAAATTTATTTATTTATTTTTATTGATTTGACTTGGATGTAAATGTTGAAAAGTTATTAGTTACATTTGCTGGCCTTTTTGTATAGATGGAATGAGTTAAAGGCAAGTAGGTATACATTCTTCCCAGAACTTCTTTTTGTAATGTAGTTTATCGGACTGCCTTCCGACTCGTATTTTATCTTGTGTGAACGAATGTGTAATGTAAACACATTTTTATGGTGCATATACCAGTTAATACTTTGAATTATATCTGCTAATTATAGAGGTACCACTCTTTGATATTCATTATATTTAAAAATATTTTATAAGGAGTGTTTATAAAACTTGCATTGTCTTGATACAACTTAAGAAACTAACTTGAAATTATTCCCCTTTCTAGATCAGTTAAGGAATTGCTGACTGACTAATAACATTCCTTTTATATAATATGTACATATTTATTTACTGTTTGCAATAAAAGAATGTAATTATCTTGTAGGTCCCTGGAGTCCCTGGGTGCACTGCAGTGCAAGATGCGAATCCAGGCCAATGATGATGTGTATGAAACCACATTACACAGGTTGGCTGCAGCAGA